ACACTGAGGTCAAGGTCACAGAGATTCTGAGATTTTTAGTAGATACACCTATTGGAAGTATCTGAAAGACAAAAAAAACTCTACAGCAGCTCTTGTAGAGTGATGAATCCAATTTTTACCAGTTCAAAGTATTTTCAAGGGCATGCAGAGGTTAGTGTGACAGAGGCGATGGTGAGCTTTGGGCTGCTACAGACATGGACAAGATTGTTGGTACCCTTTAGTCAATAAAAGAAAAACTCACAATGGTCACAGAAATAACTTTAATCTGACAACATTTATAATAAATAAAAATTCTATAAATGTTTACCAATGAAAGTCGGACGTTGCTTTTCAACCATGCCTCAATAGAATTATTTAAAAAATAAATGCATAGAACAAGCCTGGACAAAAATAATGGTACCCCTAGAAAAGAATGAAAAGAATGAAAGGGACACGTTAATCCAAGGTGTGCCCACTAATCTGCATCACAGGTGTCTACAATCTTGTAATCAGTGGGCCTATATGTAGGGCTCCAGGTAGTCACTGTGTTTGGTGACATGGTGAGTACCACACTCAATATGGACCAGAGGAAGCGAAGGAAAGAGTTTAGAAAGGAAATAGATTAGAAAGGAAATAGATTAGAAAGGAAATCATAGACAAGCATGTTGAAGGTAACAGCTAGAAGACCCTCTCCAAGCAGCTAGATGTTCCCGTGACTACAGTTGCACATGTCATTCAGAAATAACAGAAGATACATGGGTCCGTAGCCAGCCTCCCTGGACGTGGCCGCAGGAGGAAAATTGATGACAAATCAAAGAGACGGATAATCCGAATGGTTATGCTCTGCGGCTGCTTTGCTGCATCTGGCACAGGGTGTCTTGAATCTGTGCAGGGTACAGGGACATCTCAAGACTATCAATCTAGAGAGAAATGTGCAGGCCAGTGTCAGAAAGCTTGGTCTCAGTCGCAGGTCATGGGTCTTACAACAGGACAATGACCCAAAACAGAGCTAAAAACACCCAAGAATGGCTAAGAGGGAAACATTGGACTATTCTAAAGTGGCCTTCTACGAGCGCTGACCTCAATCCTATTGAGCATCTTTGAAAGGAGCGGAAACATGCCGTCTGGAAAAGGTGGTCTTCAAACCGGAAATAACTGGAGCAGCTTGCTCATGAGGAGTGGACCAAAAGACCTGCTCAGGTGCAGAAGTCTCATTGACAGTTACAGGAATCATTGCAGTGATTGCCTCAAAGGGTTGTGCAACAAAATATTAAGTTGTGGGTACCATCATTTTCATCCAGGCCTGTTCCATGTAGGGCTGCCACGATTAGTCGACTAGTCACGATTACGTCGACTATCAGAATCGTCGACGGACTGAGTTTATTAAACTTCACCGAAACAATCTGCAGATTTCATTAAAATTTAATAAACCATCATCTTGTCTTTATTGTTAGTTAGCACATACCTTAAACACTTAAAGCTGTAAGCTAATAATGGTTATATAAGAGCAGATGCCGCTGGTGCAATAAGCTGTACGTTTTACGTCCAATGGATGATGATCTGATTAGTCGACTATCAAAAGAACAGTTTGTGGCAGCTCTAGTTCCATGCATTTGTTTTTTAAATAATTCTGTTGAAGCATAGTTGAAAATCAATGTCTGACTTTCATTGGTTAACATTCATCGAATTTGTATTTATTTATACTTTTGTCAGATTAACGTTATTTCTGTGAGCATTATGAGTTTTTCTTTCATTGACTGAAGGGTACCAACAATTTTGTCCACGTCTGTACGTTGTTGAGCTGTGGTTTTCCTGTCCTTGTCTCTGAACCAGTGGTCCAATTATTAATAGAGTAAATGGACTGGCATCTGTATTTTCCAATTTTCCTCTATATTATTTTTAGTAATTTGGGGTGCAGGTTCATCTGTCACAGGCACACTTTAACTTTCAGATTACAGGAATTGGAACCTTGGACATTTGATAAGTGGATGCCTCGAGCTCCTGAGTTACAGGAGTTGATTCTCCTTGTATAATAATTTGTGGAATAAATGA